TAGTGAAGTAGAAAGTACAGATACTTACTGTAAAATGTAGTGGAGTAAAAGTAGAAAGTACCCATTATTAAATCTACTTAAGCAAAGTACAGATACACGAAAATTGTACTTAAGTTCCCACCACTGGACATATGCTTTGAAAAGTCAAGCTGAGGTGATCAAACCTACGAATAATTATGTGCCATCTGCAAACAGGTACAGTGGTGGTTGCATCTTGTTGTGTATTATTTTGTTAATACATCAAAATGTGTGAAATAGCAATGAAAGAGGACTAACGTTACCTGAAAAAGCAGCAAGAATGTTGAAACATGGGACACAAGTAGGCTTTGAACAGGACAATGAACCCATCAGGCTAAGATTAGGATTCCCAAAGCAGCTGCTGAACTCTATTTAAAGACTCCTGTGTATGTTTAAGTCCAGGTCCACAGTAAAAAAAAAAAAAAGAAGAAAAATCAACTGATTTAAATCCTGCCAAGAATAGTGGTCAAATATCCAGCCAGAAGTATGTCGTGTGTTTGTTGCTGGCCACAAGAAGTATGCAGTCTGGTGAGGTTAAAACAAACCTCACCAGATTGGATTTGCACAAATCCAATCCAAAGATTGGATTTGTGCATCCAATCTTTGTTTTATAGAAATCCTTGAAGTCGTTTCCTCTATAATTTAGCAGATCTGGAACCATAACTATTAAATCATTTATATTTGTCAACAATATCAACTAAAATATTAAAGAAATAAATGTGGACCACCAACAATCAGTTTATTTATGCGAACGACCCAGTTTATGGACCAAACTCACCAACTGCTGTTCCAAAATATTCCAGCCGTATATATTGCATAAATTTACTGATTTAGTAACAAACCGATCATCCTGCAGGTATCCTCCTGTCTCACGCCAACTCAGCAGTCAACCCAGTGGTCTACGCTTGTCGCATCCCCAAGATCCAGAAGGCCTACGGTCAAATATGGAAGCATCTCGCATTGAAGCTCAATTGTTTTACCAGAAATGAGTCAATTCAGCAAGCCATAACAAGTGACTAGATTAAGAAATGTAAATGTGTGTTTGCAGAGCCAGAAAAAAAGGGTTTGTGTAAGACTTGTTTGTGGTATTTCATCAATCTATCATTGTATAGCGTTAATCATTTCTGCTATTATTACATTTAACACATGAAGACTGTTTACAAAGATTCAACTTGATACGCAACTCTTGCTTTAATGCTGGCTTTATGTTAGTGACAGAAATTTATTAAAGCTCCACTAGAGGGCACCATGCATCAACAAACTCAATGATTGTTGTTCAGATAGAATCAGAGTTGCAGAGTGTGTGTGTGTGCGTTTGTGTTGATGTGAGAGAGTAAAAATAACTAACTTCTTAGCTTCGGTGACTTCTGGACAACTGATTTGAGAAGACTAGTTTTATTGAGATGTACATATTTAAAGCATGTAACAACTTTTGTCCACACACAAAAAAAGCTATAAAATACATATAAATCCTCCTGTAAGACATTTACCTATTCTTTATGTTGTCTGTAAAAAAAAATAATAATAATAATAAAGCACTCCAGCAAAGAGATTGTGTTGAACTGTTCAGTGGACTCCTCAGGGAAGGCAATAGACTGTATAGTTATCACCTCAGCAGGGTGCAGTCCCACCTACCAAACTATACAACCTACTACCTCACCCTGACAGAACCCAAGTCAAACACACCGCACATAAACTGATTGAGGAAGTAATAAAAATAACCCTCTCTCTATAGATATTAAATCAATTACTGCATGCATTTTGACAAGGCAACAGTATTGTCCATCTTTAGACGATAGTTGACGACTGGTTGGCTCAGCTGTCTCCTTGGGAAAGACAGTAGATTGTATAGTTATCTGAAAAAGAGGTTAAAGAACCCCACAACTATTCAATCTACTACCTCAGCCCCAAGGACACAATCTATGCTGCGTCCACACCAAAGATCCACAAATGTCACTCTCCTGCAAGGATATAGAGAAAAAGAAAGAGACAGAGAATGTTAATTAAATAATTTTTGAAAATCATGCTGGACGTCACTTCAACAAATGTTCATCTTCAATGAAATGTTGACAGACAATTTATTTGTGGAACAGAGTGAAACTAATGTCTTGGCGGTTCCTAAAAACAGTTTCTTAGAAAATCTCAGTTTCTGGGAGCTAATGATGCTTCATGATAAGTTTTCGACAGCGACAAACTGAGAAAACGATAATCACTACAAACCAAAGGAGCGCCACATGTTCTTACTGATCGGCGTAGCTTTTTTGTTGCTAAAGAGAAATATGTAGCTTTGTTCCCACCGGAATAAATTACAGATAACTAATTTAATGGTAGACGGACATGCGAAAGTAACAGCCAGTGTGCAAAATCTTAGCAAACAACTCACAAGCTTCCTGAGACTCTGGCATGTGATCGAACGAGGAAAGAAAAAGAGAGAGAGACAGAGAGAGAGAGAGAGTAGTTCGATTCTCTGCCAGGAATCCTTCTCCGGTTTTGCCAAAAACTGAGCTCATTCCAGCGGGGCTATCCCTGCGTTGGAGTGGCTGCTGCTTCTCAGGCGGAGGTACGCACACACAGATGCCTGCAAACACAGCTTCCACCAGCTGTCTCTGATTGAATACAAAGCTGGGATTCTGCCCCCCAAAACACAACGAGGAAACACAAAATGGCGTCCTGCAAGGCTTCGGCCATTTTAGGTCTGCTTAAAAACATTACGAGGTCCACCTTGCGTGTCGTTTTTTTTTTTTTTGTTGTTGTTTTTTCTTCTTCTCCTCCATTTTCATTCCTGAGCCTGCAATCCTCACAATGAAGAGAGAACAGCTGTTCTATCGCAAGTTACAGAGGACGAACCTTGTGCCAAGCAGTGAGCCGAAGCCAACCGACCCAGACGACACGCTCAATCACGAACGTTGAGGCAGAGGAAACTATTTCTTGTTAGACAGCTGGACAGTTCACAGAGAAGGGAGTGCTCACATGTGGCTCGTTCGGCTGAGATCGGGGTCGAAGCATGCCAACAGATTCAAACAGCAGCAACCGAAGAGTTAATAAGCACCAGACTAAATGCCAGGCCGGGGGCCTCAGAAGACGCAGAATGAGTTAGAAGGTGCACCGCTTGCATAAATTAGCATACAGTCGCAACCCCTGAGACTTGGTCCAGACTAGTTTGCAGTTAGTATGCTGTAAACCCCTCTAGCCTGATCACAGAAGACCAGACACGAAAAAAAAAAAAATGGGGCAGGGTGGAGGGGGTGGTGGTGAGGGAACTGGCGTGATGCCCACCTCTGCCACAGAGCTAGTAGAAGATCTATGAACTGTGTTTGCTTGCCAAGAACGATCCCCCTGACTAGACGGCTTGGAGAGGAACTCAAACAGATTATTTGGGGGGAAAATTAGTCAAATAAATTGATTCTAAACATTAAATGCTTGTGGGTTAAACTGCCAATAATTGCTGTCCCATTCTAGGAAGGGAAAGGCTAGAAGGTAAGTAAAGGCCGGAGCTTGTCTGTCACGCGAGCTCTTCTGAGACTATAAACATTTTCTAAGCCACATAAGAGAAGGAGGGCATGCCCGGCTCAGCTGAGGTAAATCATGTTCTGTCAGCAGCTACAGAATAAATGCCCCCCTAAAGCCCGTCTGGGCAGCTGGGCAGGGTCTCAGACAAGAGAGAGGGACGAAATGTATAAATCTCATCTGTCCATCTGACTGTCTTTGCATCTGTTGCTGCAGAATAAAAGCTACAAGTCTTCAAGCTTGCAATAGGAGTGAGCCAAGGACCATGAATCTTTGCCCCCTTGCCCTCTGATAACAGCACTCTGCTGTGACAGAATGAAATGTTTTTCTGCAGACAATTTCCTGTTTCAGCGCAATCATTTGTCTTTGGATGACAGACACAAGTTTTTTTTTTTCTTTTTTTTTTTTTAAAGCTGCACGACTTACTACTCTTATTCGTTTCTCTTTGGATCTTCTCAGCAGATAGCTTTCCATATCTTCAAAGTCAACAAGTTGCTTTTTGAGCAAAAAAGATTAAAGCTTTGCTTGTAAGTTATAACAATCTGATAGAACAGAAACAAAATCCTGGTAAAAGATTTCTGTTGCAAGTCATTTCCATCCCTTTCTTTACTTTTATTTCATAATTAGAAATGTTTGCTTTTACAACTGGCGCTAAACGAACTCGCCTCTGTTTATCTGCCCATTATACAATCTCGAAGATTCAATTAGAATTATTCCTTATGTTCAAACACAGTTTAAAAAACAACAAAAAAAAAAACGTCTCTTCAATAGAAATACATGCAAAATTCAGTAAATATCATGGAAACAAAAGGCCTTAGCTTCCTCTCACCCCCTGGAGGTAGGATTTAAGATGTACTCCTCAACTAATATACAAATGAATTAGTAACCACCCCTCTCTCTCTCTCAAAAAAAAAAAAAAAAAAACGTGCTCGCAGAAGATTCAGCTGCCAAGAAAACTCCTCAATTTTGGAGCGGATTATTACAGGAAGCAGAGGCAAGGAAATACCTACTGACTTGCCTGGTCCCTTCGTCCACGACACGGGATGAATGCTTGGCACAGAGACGCCACTGAGGAGGAGGAGGAGGAGGAGGAGGAGGAGAAAGAAAGGGGGGGGGACCCGTCGATTGGTGCAGGTTCTTGTGTGTGTGTTTTTTCCTTCCCACTCTCTGCCTCTCTCCATCTCTCTCTCTCTCTCTGAGCTTTGTGCCAAGAATGGGCAGCGTCTCTGTGCCAGGCAGAATTTCAATAAGGAGTAAGGAGGTGGTGGGCAAAAAAAAAAAAAAGAAAAAGAGGAGGAGGCTCAGTGGGGGAGCTGGTGTTGGCAGAGGAAGCATGCCACACAATAGATGGAAGGATGAAGAAATCTCTCTGTTATAGAAATGCATACGGATGTCTTAATTCACACCAGCCAGGTTCTCTGATCTTCTATTTAAAAAAAAAATGCTACAGAGAATTTGTCAAACCAGCATATTTCATCTTCCTACCCTTCCAAAGAAGGCCTCACTCCTACACTCAAGAACGAAGGATGCGTGCTCTGAGCCTCCTCCATGCTACCTGGCGTGGCGCCCGCTTTGATGTTCTTTATATCCTCATCAACCCGGCTAAGCACTCACACGACTCGGGCTCATATGTATGTGTATGTACATACATGGGTGTAAGGCCATATGCATTTGCTTACACAAAAACAAACAGGCCAGTTGCCTCATCTGCATGCATTTAAGGAGCTACTGCTTTACTAGCTAATTTTATTAGATTCTTCCGCATACGACTACGTATAATTATACAGATGAAAAAGCTGGACGGAGACGTCAGCAAGAGATAAAAATATGACAGTGGGAAGCACATTAGGCCTCCCATAAGGCAGGAAAATTTATGGACTTTCAAGGAAAATGTTATATATTTTTAAGCGCTTCGTTATTCCCAAATACCACAAAAGAATCATGTCGGTTTTGTGGTGTGTTAGTTTAAGCAACCAAAGGAAAAAAAAAACAAAAAAAAACTGGAACACATAAAAAAAATATATTAAAAATATAAAATAGTCATGACAACAAAAATGTATTCACAACTCTGCTTTCAGTCCAACAACAGTGCCAGGTTTACTAAAACTATAGGCGATATATTTAAATATCTTGAGCTTTTTGTACGCCAGTAGATAACCAATTATTTTAAAACGATACAGCTCAAATGTCCGTCACACATTTCGACCTATTTAAAGTATTTGGAGTGATCAGAGTTTTTCCAGCTGTATGGAGTATGGAATAACAAACCATTGTCCCTGCCACGTGTTGCTCTGCACTGCTGGATAGCTGGCTGAAAGATGCCTAATGAACTTTTCACTCACTATGAAAAAAAGGCTCCTTTGAACCACCAATGGACAGTTAAAAGTAAAGTTGTGACGCCCATCACAACGCTGGTTTAGAACTACGGTCGACAAGCTATGGCAGCCATGAAGACAGCCTGAGGAACTATGCTGCTGGCATCCTAGTAGGGATTGCTGCAAAGCCAGAGACTTGTTGGTAAGACAAAAGGTCTTACCAACTGTCATAATAAATTTAACCTGCCTGCACTGTTTTATTACCGGTCAATTTTAAATGTCTATAAGTGACTTTAAATGTGTTTTAATGATAGAACTGACTATTTATTACCATCTATAAAGCTGTTTTTTGTTTGTTTGTTTGTTTGTTTTTGTTTTTGTAAATTGCCTCTATATTACATTTTTTGTGAAGGTTTCTATATAAATGAACTAAATGTAATTGTTGGAGTAATTACTCTGTAAAAAGCAGAATAGCAAAGTACAATATCCTGCAAAATAAATTCAACAGGTATGTTTTCTCATTTTTGTTGAAGTCAAGATATCAAAATGCCGAACTCTAATAGGGTGAGTGAAACATCCAGCTGATGATGACAAGTCTACTTAAAATATCTGAATAACAAGAATAAGGCATGGACATATTGTAGTTTGTTATTTGTAAATTAAGAATAAAGATTTTATTTCAAAACAGAATAAAGGTTTCTCAGATTACAAATTGCGTTCTGGACAGTCTGTAATCAGTGTGAAATATTTCAGTCCAAGTTTGTGTCTGTTTCAGTCTAAGCTGTTTCTTATACTAGAACGTTAGGAACACAATACTCATGTATTTTTTTTAAATAGAATAAAGATTGTATATGTTATCAAGTTGCAAAGAGTTCCTGTTCAAAGTGCCATTATTCAATTTATGTTTTTCATCTCTAAATGACCTTTGAACCGAAGCTACACAACTGTCAAGATTTGATAGAAGACAGTTTACCAACAATAAAAAGCTCTGCAGTAGATGAAGCTACCATTAGCATTCTTAGTGGCTAACAGTAAACCAGTTTTGATATTATCACATTGCTTACGAATTATTCATACCTTGTCACTCTATTACATTTTGGTTTTCAAAACAGTCCCCAGAATGCTGGTTTTGTAAATGAAAATTGTTAGTTAGTCCACCAAGAGTTTGCGAGCTACATGGCGCTTCTTAAGACAACTTTGAGTTTGACAAAAAAAAAAAAAAAAGATTGTGTTTAAAATGTTGGGTAATAACCAAATTTTACACTATTTTTCTGTACGGATCAAAGAGTAATGCAGTCTGTTGGCTGCCGATCGTCTGGTGGATTGAAGACTAATCCACATTTTTATTGCTGCTAAAGTAGACAAATGTGGCGGTTTGGAAATGTTTATGGATGCAGAAAACATGGACATTGAGGCTTAAAGAGGTCCCACCCATAACTGAACAGATTAGAGTTCAGTTTATAATTAAAATGTGTGAAGTGACATGTTTTAGCTTTAAAACACTGAGCTTATACCATGAAATTGTGGTATTTTTCACAATGTGAAAAATATTGAAATCTCACAAAGGTCATTTAGAGTGGAAAAACATAATGTCTATTAATAACTTGGCTTAGTGACAGTTAATTCAAATATTTAGTAAATATACACTAAAATGTTTAAAGTAGGTTAAGGCACATGTCCCAAAATTTAATAAAGAATAAATGGCCATCTAATCATACCATAAATACCATCTGACAACAGTTTGCTGATTCTTTAAAAGCTTCTTTCTTTCTTTACACATCAGAACTTTTAAAAACATTTAATACTTTAGTTTTCTCCATTTACACTTCCCTTCCTCTCTCAGGGTTTTCAATTTTTTACATTTTTCCCCCATTTAGATGTGGCGTTACCGTGGTTTCAAATGTTTCTGATGCCTAACGGTGTTTATCTGACTTGTCATTACACGCCTACATGTTAAAGCATTTACAAATTCTATAAACATGCATGCACATGCAGCCTCGATACATACACACAGATATGTATACAATGCACATATACACAGGTATTCCTTTTCAGAATGGGTGTGTGCATTTGCGTGCATGTTTCTGTTTTTTTTTTTTTTTTCAGAAGCGTGCAAAAGTGCAAAGTGGTGTATGTCAGGATGAAACAGCTGCAGCTTCCTGCATGAGAAGAGAAACTTCCTGTTGCCTCGCTGCAAACTGTGGCCGGTCAGCCAAGATATCAGCCAATCAACTGAGCCGAGGCTGAATGCAGGAAGTTAGCCTGACTGCCTCTAGGAGAAAAAAAAAAGCTCAGAAACATTATGAGGCAACACGATAAGTTCATCTGAGGATAAGAGAGGGGCGGGGAAAGAGCTCTCCCACTCCTACCTCTCTCTTTCTGCCTCTCTACTGTAACTCTTGTTCTCTATTTTTTCCTCAAACTACTTTTTGTAAATTATCCTCTTCTATCAGTTACCCCGATGAAAGTGTTTCTTTTATTGATTAGCTAACATTTGCGAGCGTTAGTTTGCGGCATAAATTATTGCAAAGCAAAGTGAAATGGCAAAGCCTGATGAAAAAGAAACTGGTAACAGCTTAACCACGAATTGTGAGGGGCATGTTGAAAGGGTCTGCTCATGTTTACACGTGGCACGTAGGCGCCATTTTAACGCCAACCCCTATTTAGACCTAGATACAGTAAGGTAATAAGATATTCAAATACAGTCCAAACTTTGCATGCCGATACTTCATTATAGTTCGACAAGTAAGCTTAGGAAAGCTGTTTGTTAATTCACTTCTTCTGTTCTCTCAAAGTCAAAAGTAACATCTGTATTTGCATGTTTTTAGCTTATACTGGTGTCTGACGTTTCTTGGTGTTCTTAGTAGTTAAACATTAATCTCTTGGCTATTTATAGGAAGTAGGCAAACAAAGATGACTCTTCGTGTATAAAGGATATTTTTTTTCAGCATGAGAGCAGATGATCTTTTTGCTTTACAGTTGACAACTAAAAAGAAGAACTCGAAGTCTTTATGACATACCAGCACCGACTGTTTGCTTGAACTCATTCCCGTTACTGCCGGTTTCCCCTCAACTGTCACCGTGTCATAGATATTTATATGTTATCGACTGCGAGTTAATGTTTCAGGACAATCACCCGACCTTTAGCGAATTGCCACACCCCTGCATTTTGGAGAGATAAAACTAAACTAATGTTTGCACAAATGCACGTGTCGTTGAGTCCGGTGCCACTTCTCGGTAGTACCAATGAGACAGTGCACGCGAGTTTGCAGTGGAATAATTTGCAGGGTCATTATTTTTGTGCTAGCTATCAAAATGGCGCAGAGGAACGAGATTTTCCACTGGTTGATCAGCGGTTAACTTTTACTGACCGGGGCTGTCTAGCTGAGTCGACCCTCTTGGGTCAGATGTGACGAAGACGGCCTGGCATTCCTAACGCCAGTCTCCAAACAGACACCTGTTCAGATACAGACAACCACAAAGAGACTGTGTACCGTCCTGTCAGAGCCTGCTGGAGCAATGGGGAGGGAGGAGGAAGAGGAGACAAAGTAAGGAGTAGTAAAAGGATGGTCAGCAGGGAGTTGAACTCTGAGCTGAAGGAAAAGTTTCTCTCGCTACGTCCATTTAGCCAAAATGGTGGCGAGCACGGTGCGGCGTGGCAACCAGCGACGGCAAACACGTTTTACGGGAGGAAGACCGTGATGGAGAGCAGAGAAGAAGGTGAGAGATAACTGCAGGAGATATGTTGCAGGACAGTAAGCAAGACGAGAAGAGGTTGTCGCAGGGATCGAGGCAAAAAAAAAAAAAAAAAAAAATACCTGAGGCCTGTATGTGGTGAGGCGGGCGGGCGGACGGGCTGGCTTGGCCGGACGACTGGCTGAAAAGAGGGCCGTGATGGCGGGAAGAAGGGAAGCGAGAGGAGTAGAGCGCACCCTCTGAGAGCTACACCCCCTTTCCCACAATCCCCTCCTACTGGCGTGAGTACGTCCGTCCGTACAGAGAGTAACAGAGGGACGTCTGCTCTCACACAGCCCTGTAACCAAAAAAAAAAAAAAAAAATTAAAAATGCACAAATCAGAATATCAAACACTGTGTACACAGCAAGGAGGAGAAGAGCTTAAAAATCAAAGACCCACCTTACTTGCAGCAGCGTGTCACCAAACCGGAGTCTAACTTGGGAACAGACACATACAGAAAGAGAGCGAGGGCAGACCAAAACACAAACACACACATGATCAATTAGCCAGCTTTTGGTTCGCCCTCTGCTCTGCCCCGTGATGCGTTTGCCTCGGTCTGCCTGCCCACTTTGGCACCTCTGCCAAGAGGGAAGCGGAGAAAAGGGAGGGCGGAATTGGGCGGCGGGGGGTTGCGTTGTGGGGAGGACATTGAAGAAGGAAGGGAGGGGACATGCTGTAGTGAGACGAGGAAGAGAGAGAGGAAGGAGGAGTTAAGAAAGACAGTGTGCCACGAGAAAAAAAAAAAAAAGAAGAAAAAGAGAGGGAGAGGAAGCATGAACTGTCATGAGCAGACACAGTGACACAAAGCAGCGAGCCAGCAGCGAGGAGAACTTGCGGACATTTGCATGTTAATCATCCGACATCAGGAAGCACGTGGGGAGTGCGACACCAGCGCGTCCAGACATTTCTGCCATCTCGCTGCATCTCGACACATTTTCACAGTCAGGAAATTAAAATAAATAGAAAAAAAAAAATACTCTGATCAGTCTCTGTCCAGAACCCCAGTTCTGCCCTCTTCTTTCAGTCTCTCTCCTCCATCTGAGCCCAGAAGAGAGGGGGGAGGAATTTTGAGGTGTTTGAGAAACTGAATTGGTGGGCAAGCAGGAAGGATATTCCGAGGAATTTCACTTTTTTTCTCCCTTCTTCTTTTGGTCCTTGGCAAATTCCTACATCTCTGTTTCCCTTCTTGCATCAATGTGAGCGGAACAGCAATCAGCACTTTGAAGATACTGTATTATGTCAATCATTAAAAGAGGAAATCAGTTTACTCATACATGGCCAACCTTATCTATTGCAGCCAATCACTGGCGTTTGAGCTGCTGTCCCGAGACAAGCCAACCAATCAGAGCTCACCTCTGAGCTTGTATCATTTTGAAGATGCTGGAGTCGATTCTAAAGTAAAAATCAATATTTTTAAAAATTTTAATTGCAATTTTTTTTTCCCCCAACTTACTATTGACTATTTGAAGAGAAAAAAGTAAATCTTGCTTCTATAAAACATAGAACGGCTAATTCCTTATTGCAGCTGCTGGATAAATAGTCCTAGAAACGGACTGAATGAGACGCAAGCAAAGTATTGGAAGGCTTCCCCTTGTCCCGGATCGCTCACTGCAGACACAAAACCCTGCCATCCAACTCCAGCTTCTTTGCTCAAAGTCCACAAGACTTTTCTGGAAGATAGCACAAAGGCCACGCACACACACAGACAGTACACACATACAGTACACACACGCAAACACACGTGGTGTGAACGATCCGGCTCTTCCGTGGAAGCAGAGATTCAGCCAGCAGGTTGGACGGCCCCTCGACATGACGTCACGTCTCCTTTGTTGTTTATGAATTTATTTCTCTCCTCAGCTGAACCCTCTGAACCCAAGATCCCACCCCAATCCAAACCCCTCAGAGAGCTCCCCCGCACCCCCACGACACACACCCTCCTATATCTACTCCCCTTCCCAGTCCTGTCCTCGAGCCCTACTTTTACCCCCACCTACACCCGCCAATGAAGAAGAGCAAATATAGTTTGGCTTCAACAAGAAATAAGAAGGTAGAGGGAGAGATGGACACAAGGATATATATATGAAAAAGAAAAGGGTCCAGATGTCTGTCTCACTTTTCTTCTTCTTTTCTGTTTCGATTGCTCCCTGTGTCTCTTCCTGCTTGGCTTGTAAAAGTTTCAGCTGCACGGCAGGCCGGCCTCTTTTGGCACCTCTCCAGCTCTCGACTTCGCTGTCCCCCTGCCAGGAAGAGAAGGAAGAGAGAGGACAAATATAGTCACAGCTAAACTGTACTGTAACGTTGCACGGGCAGATGTGCACTGGGAGCACAGCTATCATTTGACTTTAAACCAACACACACACACACACACACACACACACACACACACACACGAGAAGAAAGCATTCGTCTTTGATGAGGGAAAGATGGCGTGTGGAGTTTGAAAGAGCTGTCCCACCGTCTGTGATGTCTGTAAATGGCTCTAATAGCTGCATGTGATAACAATGTGTTTTAGTGCTCACAACCAGTTCATACAGGGACACGTTCCCAGTCTTGTTTTTCCTGTTATCAAGTCAAATTTAAGAATAATATTGAATTTAAATAAATATAGCTATTTAAAGATCC